CGGAGCAGCAAAGAGCACAGACTGATGAGAAGAAGGAAGGAAGGAGGAATGCTCAGTAGTTAGTGTGGTGCTGGTTCAAAGGATGGAGAGGCTGGTTACCTTTGTTGCGATTTTCGGGGGCTCCGGTTTTTTTACCTGTTCAAAGAGAGAAAGGGTGGAGGGCTGAGCACACACACGGACCCACGATCACCGTCTGGCCCCGCTCCGAGGGCCCTGCACTGCTCCGGCAGCATCTGCACCCAGGGCTCAGCACCCTGCGGTCGCTCTTGGACCCCACGCGGGCCTTGGGCTGCGGCTCACGGCACCGGGGAGGCTCCTGGCTGCCCCAGACACCCCATCCCCAAGGCTCCAGGCTTCCCACCTGTAACACACCCGCTACAAGCCCTGCCAGTGCTCCAAGTGGTGCCTCAGACCCTCGGGGAGAAGAAACCAACTCTGCACAGCGCATACAGAGCATCACCGCTCCCTGCCTCCTGCTGCCATCGGGATCCATAGCGCTCGGGGGTGGGCAAGCGCCGAGCGCTGCTCCCGGGGAGCTGCTCAGCTCCGGCAGCAGCTCTGCTCCCACGGCTCCCCCCGCACTCCCACCTTCAAGCTGGCAGCAAAACCCTCAAGAGCTCCAGCACCGCCGAGCCCTGGTGATGTGAGTGGAGCTGCAGAAACCCAGCACACTTGGGCTCCAGAGCCGAGACGGCTGTTGGAGGGGGCCGGGTGAGGCTCTCCCTGCCTGGCATCGCCTCCCAGGAAGGGCTCCGTGGTGCAGGGCTGCCTGTGCATCCAGCGATGCCAAGCAGCAGCTCCTTCCTGCCAGCTCCTCGCACCTCGCTGCTGCTCCCAGTGAGCCCAGAGCAGGGGTGCAAGGACATGGGGGGCAGCAGGAGCTTCCCCAGCCTGGCTTGCACCAATACCAGCTTTGAATCTGGAATCAGAGCTGGCATAGATCAAAGGAATAAGCAGTAAGATGTGAAAGGCAAGGCAGGAAAGCATTGGATACCCAGTGTGATAGGGGAAACCTCAGCCTGCCTGGCTGCTCTCCTGCCCTCTACCCCTCCTCTTCCTCTCACCATCCTCTGCGCCTCAACTGCCTCTCTAGGGCGCTCAGGAGAAGGGATCTGCAGCAAAGCCCTCGAGGTGGCTACTGCCAGCATCCTGTGGGCAACCAGGACTCACCTTCCCACCGCAGAGTGGGCAATGAGCACCGTGCCACTGCTCCACGCTAGCAACCACTTCTCCCTCTGAGCCTTGACCCCCCATACTGCAACTCCAGGCTGGAGAATTGAGAGTGGGAGCCGTGCCCGAAATCGCTGGTGAGGTCTGGGTGGTCTGGAGGAGGTCTGGGTGGTCTGGAGGAGGTCTGGGTGCACGGGGGGTGCTATTGACCCCATGCTGCAGGTGAAGGGGCAGCAGGGAGGGACACCCCCCAACTCGACAGCTCACCGTACCTGCCTGGGCCATGGGCACTAACACAACCATGTCCCACAGGCGTGGGCGCAGCTTGGTGCACACCGGTGGATGCTTCCCAGGAAAGGGAGAAAGGTGAAAGGAGGCAAAAAGCCGGTTCAGTGGATGTCCTTACCTTTCTTCACCTTCTTTTCCTCATCTCCTTCTCCCGCACCCAAGAGAGTGAAGATGATTCCTGTCTGGGAGTTGATCCCCACGGCAGTCACCACCATCCTGCCGGAGCCCTCCATCACGTGGGTACCTGCGCAGCGGGAAGGGGACGGTGCTCAGGACGCCAGCATGCAGCTCCCGTCTCCTCCAGCACCCAGAAAAACCACCTCCATCATGGCACAAACCCCACAGACCGCCCCAGATCCTCACCCGACAGCAGCATGGGGTCTTTATCCAGCGATTTCTTGACTTGGTCTGACTCCCCGGTCAGGGAGCTCTCATCTATCTTCAGGTCATTGCCTTGGATCAGGATCCCGTCTGCTGGCAGGAGATCACCTAGAACGGGAGCAGAGAGGGGGTCAGCCCTGCCCTGGGAGCTGCAGCGCACCCCTGCCTGCCCCAGCCCAAAACAGGACTCAAAGCTCGGTCTCAGCTCAAATCTAGGAGGAGGAGAAGCAACAGATGGGTGTTATGAGACAGATGGGTATTATAAGATGACACCCAATAGCTCCAAACTCTTCGCTGGTGTACAAAAGCATTTGTTGCGAGGACTTTTGCCCAATCAGACAGCGCTTCCTCCATCTGCTTTTACTGAATCAACACCGCATCCTTCCCAAAGCCTCCCGATACATCCAAATGGTTCCATGATCCCCTCAACCGCCCACCGAGGTAGGAAAAAGCCCTAGGTGAAAACCAACACGGTGTTGGAACAACCTCTCTCCTGGCAGGATGAGGATACCCCTTGGTAAATAAGGAGCAGGACCAAGGGCAACATCTCCTGGGGAGATGCTCACCAGCAAGGACACGGTTGTGAAAATGAATCATTTTTGAGACCATAAGCAACCCAAAGCTGTGTGCAGAGCCTGGCTTAGCTCTGCCAGCCCAGGAAGGTCAGCGGAGCATCTCCCATCGCTCCCAGCCATGGCACGCTGCAAACTGGAGTAACTGGGGGACCCATGAGTCCCCTCCAAAACCAAAGGAAAAGCAAAGAGGGGGATCCACTGAGGTGGAGGCACAGCCCCCAGCCGCACTCACCGTACTTGATCTGCGCGATGTCTCCCACCACGATCTCGGCCACCGGGATCTGGATCACCTGGCCCTTGCGGATGACCGTGAACTTCTGCTCCTGCTCGATGCGGCTCTGGAGGCCCCGGAACTGCTTCTCCTTGCTCCAGTCATTGAAAGCGGTCACCAGCACCACGATGATCACCGAGAACAAGATAGCCGCCCCCTCGATCCAGCCGGCCTGCGACTCGCCCTCGTCCTCCACGCCGCCCGTCGACTGCCCGCACACTGCGCTCGGGGGGATGAGACACATTTGCACAACAAGACACCCGCACCCCCCAAATAACGCATGCAGAGCGGCGCCTGGAACACGGCTGCTCCTCCCTGAGCTGGTCCAAGGGCTTCCCCTGCTCTCAGGAGAGGGTTTTTACATCCCTGGAGGCATTTCTTCTTCTGCTCACTTTTCATTTTTGGCAGAGGCAGGGCCGGGACAACTGACTGCTATTTCCAGCCCTCCCTGCGCTGCGTGAGCCTCGAGTGAGTCACCGTCACCCTGCACCTCCTGATCCCTGCCCCACTGAGCTCCTCCAAGGATACAGAGACCCAGGGCCAGGGTCAGACCCAACACCAATGCTCAGACACACACGGGGTGTCACGGCCGGGGGAGGTACCATGAGACAGAGCTTCTCACATGAAAAGAGAAGCCCCATGGGATTTGGGAAGGCACCAGAGCAGATGGACCCCTTGGTCTTTGGGCAGCTTTGAGCCACGTCATGGTGACAACTGTGCTCAGACATGAGCATCAGTGCAGGAACTGGACACGGATGGGATCCCCAGGACAAGGGGGAGCCACCATGTAAATAGTGAGCAGAAGTAGCTCCCTGCTCCAACATCACCAGGGTGAGACAGCACCTGTCCCAAATCCCCGCTCCTGGCGGCTCACAGGGGTCCCCACTGCGTCCCCCACCACGCCACGGGGACCCCAGGGACTCACGTTCATTGTCACCACCCGGCGGGTGGTAGAAGGACAGGCCCAGGGAGATTATGGCTGCGATTTCCAAGATGATCAGTGTGACGTCCTGCAGCGCCTCCCACACTAACTGCAGGAACGTCTTGGCTTTTTTGGGAGGGATGAAGTTCTGGCCGAAGACCTGCCGCCTCTTCTCCAGGTCCGTCGGGTTCCCAGACAGGCCTGGAGCGGGGAAAGATGGAGATGAGGGCAAAAACCCAACACCAGCATCAGTGGGACCCCACAAGGAGCAGCTCCCTGCCTGCGCGGGGGGCAGGAGGTGCAGGCAGCGAGGAGCCAAGGCAGGGG